TAGTTCGAACTAGGAGGGTAGTGTAGACATACCCTATAAGAGGACAGTGACAATGGCACTGTAATTGGGTTATATGATTATCTATGGAGATTTCGACTGTAACTAGGTAGGGGTTCCCACACCTGCCCAGAACTTCTGTCTCCTTTTAGTGTTTTAGCTGATATGCAGTGAAAAAAATCCATCTTTTTTTAAAAAAGAAGTGCATACACTTCTACATAAATACATTTATATAAGGAACAATGCCGAAATTACAGACAGCAAGTTTCAAGTGCTCCTTCAGTCAAGGATCTGGCTTTTGTTTCTGTTGAATTTTTAAGGGGAGGAAAATATGGAGCTGTTATATAATTGTGTTTCTTTATAGCCAATTTAGATGATGATTCGAACACTTTCTTAAGGACAGCACCATTTGTGATAATAAGATATAGAGCAAAGTGTGCGCTACATAGATTTTAAAGATTTTGAGGACTCTTTGCTGCCATGGGAAAGGATTAACCCCGGTATTGCTAGCACCAGTGCTGACAGGATGGGATTTGGGGCTTCTGATCCTTTAAGGTTTGCAGTACTGGACTCCTCCTCCTGGTCCTATGACTCAGACAATTCATGTCAAGACATGGTAACATGCGTGTTTATTACATAGCAGAGGCTGACATATCTGCTTCAGAAATGGTTCAGATTAGGGATGTAATAGTGTGGTTGATTAACCAAATAACCAATAAGCAAAAGTTTATAGGTTAATGCTATAGAATACACGCATTTCCCCCTGACCCTTTGCCAGTACATTTTTTAGAAGGCTGGTCAACAGCCCAGCTCAGTCCCAGCTTGCACTGGGTCCTGGACTTACCCCTGCTGCAGTTATGCATTTAAAGAATATTAGGAGCCAGGTGGGCAGGCAGCCCAGATCAGTTCTGGCTTGTGCTGGGTCCAGGAGCTCAGACCCCTCCCCTTCCCCAGAGAGGTTCTGCCCAGGGGCTATAGAATAGTCGACTAACCGACAAGAATTAATTAGGTTAACCAACTATTCCATTAACCGATATTTAATATCCCTAGTTCAGATCCCTGCTCCTGCAAAGCACTTCAGCACACACGCAATGGGACTGAACATCTTGTGGGATGATGCACTTGAGAAAAGCAATGCGCTTGGTCTGGGGGCTACCTGCCCCTCTTGTTTTAAAGTGCCCCTCCTCCTAAGTATCAGATTTCATGCCTTTACTTATCCACTATTCTCCCACACTTACCCCTGCGACCCATCTTAGACAACTGCTTTTTCCTATGCAGTTTAGACTGAACACCTGTGTCTCTTCCCTCCGGGAGTGTGACCAGTGACACACAGGGACAAGTGTCCTTCTTAGAGCATGTTCATTTAGCAAGTGGAACAAAGCATCAGAAAAGATCATTTTGAAACCGTTCTCATGCATGCTCAGGTTCAGCTAATCTCACCCTTCACTATGAATCATAGAACCATAAAGCTGGAAGAGACCTCAGAAGGTCATCAAGTCCAGCCCCCTGCTCCAGGCAGGACCAATCCCAACTAAATCAACCCAACCAGGGCTTTGTCAAGCCGAGACTTAAACACCTCTAGGGATGGAGACTCCACTACATCCCACTCAGGTGGACTTCCCTCTGGAGTTACAGGAACAAAACGGGCTCCATATGACATTCTTCTACCAAGCCCAAGATCTCCAGGAACCAGCCTGCTTTCAGTTTGCTTTCTAGAAAGCACCTCCTCCAGAGTCTGCTCTTCCCTCTCTGTGTATACCTACACCTCAGTCAGAAGGTGTAAGTGCAGAATGTTTAGGCATATCACAGCCAGCATGCATCTTGGTTCCTGGGTTAGTCCATGCAGTTACATCTGCTTCTGCAGATTTGCTGCAATTGTCACTTGAGCTAGCTCAGGTATGTCTGTACCAGTGTTCCCGCTGAGATTTTCCATCCATGAGTGGAGTGAGTTTTGACTTGTACATCAATCTTGAGGTCATGTATGTTTGTTCATATATATATAGATATAATTAAAATGTTATGGAAGAAAGAATAATAAAGGAAAGGATAATTAACAAGGTGCATGACTTTAAATGTTTATTTAATATGAAGTCAAATAAAAAGAAAATTAATACTGCAAAGTTTTCAGTATGTTAGATTAGCCCCAAGGCTGCTCTCAATCTGCGCTGTCCACAGTTCCATAGAAGCCATAGGAAGCCAAGAACAAGCACACTGCAGTGTTGCTCATACTGTGGCAGCAGTGGCCAGAGCCCCAGGCTCTTTAGAATCACTGAGTCCCAGGGAAACTTCCCTCTTTTCCCCCCTGCCCTCCACTTTGATGGGCCTGGCAGGGCACTAGCTCCTGAGATCAGTGGCAACACATGCATGCTGCTAAAATCGGGCAGTGCAGCTGCTGTTTATCAACTCTTTTGCTGACAAAATACTTCCACCCCCAACACGCGGCATTCACATTGTCAGCTAGAGAGGGCCCCTGCACACCACAGACTGATCACACCGCTACATGCCACCACAAAACTTTTGTCTTCGGAGGCAAGAGGTAACACTTCTGAAGGACATAAGCAGTGGCCAGTATAGACATAGCCAAGCCTACTGACAGATAACTGACCTGCAGCAGCCTGAAAACTGCAGCTTTTCAGAACCATGTGTGCACACGCTGACAATAACAGAATCACATGTACCTGAACCATCACTGGGCCAATTCATGCTCGATTCTTAGACAAATGTCTTCAATGTATAGTTAAAGACACTATTACAGTTCCTAGCCAGATAAATCACCAGCTGGGGAGAACTATCTATTACCAATGTGCATCTACAGTGAATTCATTCGGTCTTGACACATGTAATTTATGGCAAAAGCACAAGAAGCTTATGGTAAGCTGGTAAATAATGTTTGTACCGGAACTGGGAGATGAAGAATGCATTTGAAAACAGTTTTAGCTTTATTTGGTAGTAAAAATTTCACTGTCAGTGGTTTCACAGAGAGCACCAAGCAAGTAATATTTTCAGATTAATAATTTTTCAAGGAAGAATACAAATAAAGAGTTGCACAGCATTCCTTCCACCTGCGCTCTTATTATTAGAAACATAACCAGCAGTTTCTCGTTTCTAGTTCAAAATCAGACAACCTTTTCCCTCACCCCAACACTCTTTATAAAGCTGAGTAATACAGACATGTCTATTTGAGATGGATTGTGGCTTTGCTTTGTGCAATATTGAAAAATGTTTAGATTTTCCATATTCCACTGTTTAGGATTACTACAGCAAACCTCTTTTTCCATTTTTAAAGATTCTTTTATTTCAGTACAAGAATGGGAGAATGTCAAGTACATTAAGCATATCACCAACAGCTGTAGAAACCCTACATTTTAGTCTTCAAGGACAGATCAAAACAGAATAAATTTACAGAGTAAGCTCCAAAACGAGTACAAAATGAGTAGTAAAACAGCTCCCAGCATGTTATTTTGTGTTCATCTGTTTTTATTTTAAAAGCAGTGTAAACGTTTATTTGCATGCCTGTTTTCTCACTATTGCTGATTTACAACGGTGTGTGATCAGAATCAGTTCCACTCAAGACTGAAGAAATGCTGATTTTGCTCTCACTTAATCCGATTCTATCTTTTCTACCCTTACTCCCACTCCAGGGATTGAACCAAACAACCCTGCCCCAGAGCAGTCACCCATCAGCCATGCAGCTGCTGCCCCAAGCTCCAGGCAGCAACCCTCCGGCTGCCTTGACCCCCCGGTGGGAGCACCCCGCTCGCCCACTGCCCCAAACTTCGGTAGCAGCAACCTGCCCACTACATGGCTGCAAACGTCCATTGTAGCAACCCACCCGCCCCTCCACAGTCTCAAACCCTGGTGGCAGACACCTGGTCCCTGACCCACAGCCCCAAACCCCAGCAGCAGCCACCAGCCCACTTTCCTGCACCCCAAACCTCAGCGGCAGACACCCACCCGCAGCCCCAAACCCCAGCATCAGATACCCACCCGCAGCCCCAAACCCCAGCAGCAGACACCCGCCCACAGCCCCAAACCCTGGCAGCAAACACCAGCTTGTAGCCCCAAACCCCGGCAGCAGACACCTGCCCATCATGTGGCTGCAAACCCCAGTGGCAGACACCCAGTTGTCCACAGCGCCAAATCCCGGTGGCAGACACCTGTCCACTGCTCCAAACCCAGCGGCAGCCAGAAAAGCTGATCCCCAGCAAAGCCCCAGCCACCAGAGTAGCACTACCCTTTCGTGCCCCCCCCCATACTCATTCCCGTCCACCACTGGGCCCCACTGTGGGAGCAGCCACTCCAGTCACCTTCCAAATCCAGCAGGAAGGTGAGGGTTGCTGTATGGAGGAGGTGGGCGGGCTTAGAATGTTTTGTGCACAGCCGTGCAAGCGCGCACATTAGAGGGAACGCTGGTCTGTACATGCTGCAGTCACACCTCCCAATTGCAGTGTAGACATATCCTCAGGGGAGACTCCCATTTCTCAAAGTCCCACTTTCCTTGCATGAGTCAGACAAACTGCCGTTTATCTCGGTGTCTTTTATGTGAAGGCCTGTGTGTGAAGTCTTCCTCTTGCCTGAGACTGGTTTGTCATAGTCTACCATCCCCTAAGATTGCCACCTTGGAGACACAAAAAAAAGGGATGTGTGGCATCACCCTGAGCCCATAAAACAGCTGGCAGGTGTACTGATTTTCCAGGACACCTACTTCCAGAAAGGGACAATCCTGGGAAAAACTGGACAGAGAACAGCCCTAGCTAAAACGCTAAACTCCATCTCAGGAACCCTGTAGCTAAAACCTATTTCAGAGCAGTATTCATTGACTAGCACCCCCACACCTGTTACAAATACTTTGCAGGAAGAGACTCCCAATGCTTGATCTGCTGACCCATGATAGGCGTTTCAGAGGTGGGAGATGTCTAGCTGATAGAACACCACAATTGATTTCTTTGCAGACTTTATGGTCCAAGCTTGAGCTGAGGACGAGGTGTGGACTTCTAGAATTTTGATAGCAGGCCTTGCTCGATAAAGTTACAGACGCCTTATCTGCAGGAAATTATTAGCATCATCTCTACTGTCAAGGCTCTTCTTAGAGGTAAGTGAGAACTTTCAGAAGCCATCCATGCATGAAAGCCTGACGGTTTTCTTGCAGCTAAGAATGGTGGGGTGATGTCAAACCTCGGAGTCTATGTTTGGCCCATTGTACTAGGATATCTTCACTTGCAGTACTTGTGACCCTGAGGGGAGAGGAAAGGAAAGATCTGTCTGCTTTCAGCAACAGCCCAGGCTGCTCTTGCACAGGAAGGGGTAAGTGGGAGAGGCAGCCTGTCAGAGGGGCTTCCCCCATGCAGGGCTGAAATCTGCTATTGGGCTGGCATCAGGGTTCAGAAAAGGCACAGAATGGAAGCGGCGCTGCTCTGCTCGCATCACTCATAACTCCAGACAAAACAGGAATTCAGGGATCACTGTGCTCCAGCAGCCCACTCACCTGTCTAGTTAGATGTCCTGTCTCTGACACAGGTGCCAGCTGCTTTTGAAGTAGATGCCCGAAACCTTACATGAGAACCTACTCCTCTTCCCTTTAGCTAATTTGGCTTTTGCCTGGAAGCCTGAGGATTTCAGTCCTTTCCAAATATGTGGGGCTGGATTTTTATCCTAACCATGGTAGTAGTGGATGTTTTATTACCCATATAAATATCCCAGAGTCTCTGTTCTCAGTGCCAGACTTTCCTAAGTAGGAAGCCAGGAATAAACAAAATAGATCCATCTTGACCATGTGCAATGCTGTGGTAGCTGTCTTGGTCCCAGGATATTAGAATGACAAGGAGGATGAAGTGAGATCCTTTATTGGACTGTAGTAGGGCACTATTTGGAAACCATGGGAGGGGTGGCGGGCACAGCCCGCCCACTTCTCAAAGTCCCTCCCCCAGCCCTACGGAAGGGATGACTAGACTCAGGGTCCAACTGATTTCTGGGGACAAATAATGACAAAAGGGATCAAGGTGTGGGGGTCACGGGTTTAAAACAAGGGAACTGGATGGGGACACCGAGCAGAGAACCCCGGACAGCACCCACTGCTCCTCAAAGCTGTCAATGGAGCCAGTGGATACCGCCCAGAGGAACTCTACCCGGATACATGAAATCAAGGAGGAACTAAAGTAGGCCCCCACAGCCGCAGAGCACCCCCTCGTCCAGCATCCTCCTCCTGGTGGTGTAAATGGCGGCTTTCGCCAGGGCCAGGAGGAGGTTGATGAGGAGGTCTCGCAACTTTGTGGGGACACAGATGGGGTGTGCATAAATAAAAAGGTATGGGGGAAAAGTACAGCCAGAACCTCAGTAAGAATTAGGGTGGAATATACGCTGGCCCATCAGGGTTCCCCACCATCCACAGGTCTTAAATAGTCCCACCATTTGGCGTCAGGGCGGGACATGAGTGTGGGGAAATGCAGAGTGTGGAGCACAAGCGTGTACAGATGTTTTCTTGAAGCAGTTTGGAAGCAGATCAGCTGCAAATCTTGCAGCTGGCTTAGGGTCCAGGGATGGGGCAGCCAGGGGGGCCCGCGGAACAGGAGCCCGATAAGAATGGACAGAGGCTTTGCAGGTAGGGAGGGGCGGGGTGTACCTTCTCGCAGGGCTCTCTGCAGGAAATTGAGAGCAGACTGTGGCAAGGCCGCCTTCACCTCCTGGCGTAGGCACAGGAGGGTTTGGGGGGTGGAGAGCCCCATGCGCTGAGTGAGTGCTTGGGGATCCACCCAGTCCCCGGTGTTGTAGTCCAGGAGGTCTCCGATCTTGATGGCTTCTGCCAGGATCAGCCTCCGGCACACTGAGGGAGACTCTGCCACCTGCATGCACAAAGCTGGATTGTGGAGCAGGGGCTCTGCGAGGAGGTCTACTCCCTCGGTGGCCACAATGGACCTGGTTGAGAATAGCTTTCAGGTCTAGAGGAGTTCCTGGTAGAATTCTGGCAGCTCTGAAAGGTCTCGCAGAAGACCCCTCCCCCCCCCCCCCCCA